TTATGTTTGAAAATAAAAAATACGCTGCAATATCAGCAAATACTCATTATTATCCGTTTATCCTCTATGAATGGATATATTGTAAGATTCGACCTTAAAAACTACCTTAGGAAACGGATTGCGAATGGAGATTTTGAGTCACCTGATCTTCAAAGTATAAATAAATGTAAACCACGACCGAATTGAATGCCGGACCCTGTCCCTTTAATAGGCGACGCCACAGCGACGCCATTTTGTGCAGCAAAGCATGATGGTAGTTGTAGTCCTCGCAATTTTCCATGTTCGCTAAAATAGTCCTGAAATGTTTTTGCTTTTTCCAAGCCGAAAATAGATGTTGTTTTGCCGTTTGTACAAGTAAAGCGCAAAAAAGCTGTTAAGGAGATATTTTAGGGTCTATAATAAGTGTGAGTTATGCTCAGTGCTGCACAAAATGGCGGYGCTGCACATTGCTTATTGTACAAATGTTTACCTTGGTGCGTTTCATATCTGTGAAGTAAAATATATACATGTAAGTAGTTACTACTTATTTACTGTCTAGTTTGACTCTATCCTTCAACTAAAACATTTTAACCAAAGTATTGTTGTTTCATTTGTGTTTCCCTTTCCATTAGTTACTTTCCCTATGTTGCGTATATTTTAGTGGATATTCATTACCCACTCTGATTGGCTAAATCAGAGCCAATCATCGTTAGTATTAGGATTACAAGCTATAAAGTCTGAAAGTTTAGTTAATAGGTCGTTTGCATTATGACGTAACTTTACTACAACTACCAGAGAGCCTTGCGCATTTTCATTGTTATTCAGATTTTAAATTCCCTTGGAATTTGCATTATGGCGTAACTTTACTACAACTACCAGAGAGCCTTGCGCATTTTCATTGTTATTCAGATTTTTAATCCCCTTGGAGATTAATAAAACAATTGGCACTAATTGCATTGCAAAAGAAATTTGGCAAAGCATTTTGGTAGTGCAGTAAATGACGGCATAATGCACTTCGCCTATTGTACATGATGCTTTTTCTGAATTATTGCTTTATTTTTATTTATTTATTATTACATAAGCATTGCAATAACCATAAGACAAAGAATAAGCTAATTTAAGACAAAACAATATCAAAGTGAACTACATATCTTAATCTCTTCTTAATTTTTTGGTACTGCAAAAGGTATCGCTTTTATGCTTATAGCAAAGGTTTAAGGGAATTAGTTTGTGCTC